CCGGGAGCAACCTCCAACAGGCCTTCCACGCGCCCTGCTCTGATGGGGCCCCTCTCTGGGGAACCGTCCAGGCGCGACTTTCTGCGTGGAGCAGTCGGGGCGCTGGTCGCTAGCCCGCTTACGCCTCGTGGGCTGCGAGAACGCTTGGCGATCCGTTCCGCGGCTCGCGTCTCGGACCGCTGCGGGTGGCGCCCCCGCGCGGAGCCTTCCTTTCCTGCGGGCCCCGAGGCGCGCGTGCCAGAGCGCGCTAAAAGCTGGAAGACCTGTGCAGTCTCGGGCGCGCAGACGGGGCGTGCCATGCCCTGATCGCCGCGACCCGTCAACTTTTCCAATCGGCGTCTTTCCGACCGCGCCGAAGGGGAGTTTCCTGGCTTCCCCTGCCATTCGCGCGTGGCACTTCCCGCCGGCAGAGGTTGGCCCGCGCGGCGCTTGTGTCTGCCAGGCCCAGACACCCGCGTCCGAACTATTGCGATCAGCCCCCCGCTCCTTTCCCTCTCTCCCTCTCCTTCTTGCCATTCCTCCCACTCCCCCACTCTCCCGCCCCCCCCTCTCCCCCTATGATGCGAGCGGGCCATCAGAGGAAAAGTCAACCGCCGGGTCGCTGACCTCCACGTTCCCGGGCAACCGTTCAACGCTCACCGCCGGGTGAAGCTGGTTGGACGTTGCATGAACGCTGCGCCCGAGGCCGAAGGGCCTGGGATCAACCTGGAGACTGCCGCCGCTTCCAGGGCCAAGAAAGCCATCGTGCGCCTTCCCCGCATCGGACGGGCGCCGCTCGACCCCTGGCCGCCAGTATGTGCACCACAGGCACAGACATCCAAATCCCGTGTGGCAGAGCGCGCAACCTTTACAACGACGCGGCCTTCGCTGCCATTTGGCCTAAAAGGCACTCTTGGATCTCGCACTGGGCTCTTTACGCTCTGGTAGCCCCTGGTCACGCGATCGAGCTCGGCGCGCCCCCTCAAAGAGAAGCGCCACTAGGGCTTCGAAGGCAGGCGCGGGGAGACATCAGTAGTCGCTGCACAGCCACGCGCGAATCTTCCAGAGGGGTGGTCCCGCCAGCAGAATTTGGCAAACCATTGCCCAGTTCGACTGGGCATGGCTCGAACTTGGTACCATGCGTATCGACTGGGACATGCGCCTATCGTGGCTGCGAATTCCAGCCCGCCTCTCCACCCGCGTGCTCCGCGCCTCGCAGCGGAGAGCTTTCCTCCAGCGAATCGCTGCTACCGGGCACGATCTGGGCGCCGTCGCAGCCGTCGAGTTTGGGCTGGACTATTTCGCCAATACCTGGCTCCTCAGGACCAAATGCAAAGCCAAGTGTATGGAATGCCAACTCGGGCTCCTCTGCAACTACCTGCGCAGGTGACCGCGCCCATCATCAGAAAGTCCGTACCGGTATCTCGGCTGACCCATCTCCCTGTCCAAGTGGTGCGATCAAAAAGAAAAAAAACAGGAATACACCGTCCGGAGATGCTATTACTGGGCTGACCGGGACTGCCCTCAAGACTATCATAACCATGGTAGGGTCTCCCAGGCGCTGTGGCCTTCTGGAATGAGATCGAACCGTGCTCGACCTCCAGGTCACCGTGGCGGAGGACGATCTCCAGGGGAATGCCGATAACGACAGCTGCCAAGTGCACACTGACGAACTCGGCGCCGGATGGGTCTACGCCGCAACTCACGGGGCATGCTCGAACCAAACCCACTCCCTCCTGGGCAAGGCGGGAGGCGGGGTGTACTCCGGGCTGGACCACCCGCTCAACCACTCCGCACGAGTGCACGGCCTCGCCCAATCCGCGCAACGGGCCGAAACTTTCACCACGCCGCACTTCGTGGCCACTGCCGAACGGCCCGTCCACGTCTTCGTGGACAATCAAACTGTGGTGGGCGGGTCCGAAGACCTCCAAGGTAAACCGCCCCAGCGTGTCGGACCGCAATCGGACCTCTGGCAGAGAATTCACCCAAGCCAAACCCGACCTGATTGAAACTCCAGAAGATCGAAGGCCACCTCGATGCGCAAAGTATCAGCGACGGACGCATTCACGGAAGCCTTCAAGCGACATGCCGACGAACTCGCCACTGCGGGAGATGGGTTGCACAGCATCCCGCAGGACGTCATCGACGCTGCCCGAGGGCGCCACAAGTTCGCCGCTGTCTTACACGCGACGGCCGTCGCCACTACGAGCAATAACACCGCGCTCTTCCTCTGTCCCGCAAGCGAGCGGGATGCTACAGGACGGAGCTCTCCAACATGGAGGTGAACCCGCTCACCACCAACCGTGGAGGACAAGGTGCTGACGCACAAGGAGGACCACCTCCGGCGGCGGAGCCACCAGGTCCCGAATGTTCGGCGACCCCGACGACCCCTGGCCTCAGCGCGCGGGCGACTTCGCCGCCGATGACCTCGACTCCCTTGGGCTTGGGGCCGCCCTCGACGGAGTTCACGACCGCGCCCACCCAACACGGAGACCCCACTCTGAAAACGTCCACGCCCCCGATGGACACACCGATGCAAGTGGCACCGCCCTGCCCCCTTTGGCAGAGGACCTGCGCGTGGTTGGTGAAGGGTCGTGGACTGCGCTCCACCAGTCGCTGGTGCTGCCGCCCCAACACGCTGGGCTCGCCAGTGCTACTGCGCATCCAACCCCCAAACGCAGCGCATCCTGCCACCACGCAACCCCCGCTCCACTAGGGAACGGGGACCATGGGCCCTAGCACCACTCACCAGGAAGCTGGCGACCGTCTGACCGCGGAGCATCGCACTGATCGGAAGAGTGCCCTCACTCGTCACCTCACAGCGGCCAGTCATCAGCGACAAGAGGACCGTGGTACTACTCTCAGTGCCAGCACCCAAACATCCAACCAGCGCGCCAAGCAGCTGATGACTTCCCTGCAACAGATACGGGAACAAACAGCACAACTGATCGACGGGGCCCATCTTGCACGTGAGGCTGTGGCTCTCACCGAATGGGCTTTCCGCCCCGATGCGACCCCTCCCCGCAGACCCCGAGCATAGTTGGCACCTGCTCCGTTTCCAGCGCCTTTTGGCCCGCTGCGGGGGATGCCCCAAGCCGGCGGCTCTCTTCGCAAGGCGTCGAGGCGTGCACGCCAAACCACGCTTGAAACTGGAGCCTCGCTCCGCGCGGTAGCGCAGTCGGGCCCCAGTGGGGTCTGATCACCGCCGGCCGTCTCTTTTCCCAGCCGTGGGCCCCCTGTAGTCCACGCCAAGAGGAGATTATCCCACCACTCCAGTTTAGCATGCGGCGTCTCCCGCTGTGTGAGGCGGGTCCGCCTGGAGCACGTGCGGCTCGGGGGGCAGGACATTGACATTGTCCGAACTGGTGCGCTCTTTCCCTCCCTCTCTCCCTCTCTCCCTCTCTCCTTCGCTCCGTCTCTCCCTCTCTCCCTCGCACAGGTCTGAGCCCTACTCTCCTCTCTCCACCGACTCTGTCAGGAAGATGTCCGGCCCTCTCCGCGTACGGCTTTCAGACACACTATTTCAAGCATTGTTTCTCCTCACGGTTTTTGCAGTCCTCTCAGCGTGGCCCTCCTTTTCGGGTGCGTACTTGCCCCGATTGTTTAGAATGGCGCTCTCGCCGCAGCGCGGACCGCTTTTCTGGATCCGAGCCCCTTCTCATTGTTGTCGCTCCTTCGTGGTCCTCCTGGTCCTCCCGCTCCTTCCATTCCAGCTCCTGCTGCTGCTGCTGCCCGTCCTCGTTCTCCTCCTCCCTCCTGTTCCTCCTTTTCTTCCTGCTCCTCGTCCTGTTCATCCGCCACCTCCTCCTCCTCCTTCTCCTCCTCTCCCTCCTCCTATTTACGAAACTCCAATGTATCGATGACGCAAAACTCGATGGGATCGTTCTTGGAGTTTCAGGTCCAGTATGACACGCGTCCGCAGTTAGAGAACCAGTCAGCGTAATGGTAATGGATGGGAGAGAGGGGTAGGAGGTCCGACATGACGCGAGCGCACCTAGCTTGCCCTCTCTACAATTTAACAATGTGCATGCTACTCTCTTCTCTCCCCTGACTCCGACTGGAAGATCCTGGGCTCTCTTCGCGTGCTGTTTCTTGGACTCGCGCGATTTCAAGCGTCGATTTTTGTCATGTCTGATGGTTGTCGGCGCTTCCAAATGCTGCTCCCGCTGCTGCGTGAGGATTATTTTCGGATGCGTGCTTTGCTGCCGTCGCTTAGAATGGCGCTCTCGCCACAGCGCGGGCCCATTTTCTGGACCCGAGCCCTTCTTGATCGTTGTCGCCCCCCTCATTTCCCCTCCTCTGCCTTCCCTGGTCCTCCTGTTCCTCCCGCTCTTCCAATTCCAGCTCCTGCTGCTACCGTTCGTCCTCGTCCCTTTCCCCCCGCTGATCCTCTTCCTCACCCGCAACCTCCTCCTCCTCCTCCTCCTATGCACGCAGCTCCCCTTCTTACGATTACGCAGAACACGATGTGGTGTTTTTGTTGGAGTTGCAGGTCGGCTATGACACGCATCCTCGGGTAGAGACACGATCAGCGCAATGGCAGGGGATGGGAGGGAGGGGTCGGATGTCAGATGAGGCGCGAGCGCACCTAGCTTGCCCTCTCCCCCTCTCCCCCTCTCTCCCTCTCCCTCTCTGTCCTCTCCCTTCCCCTCCCCCTCCCTCTCTGTCTCTCTCTCTCTCTCTCTTTGTTTGTCTCTCTCTCTCTCTCGCTCTTCCCTTGTCTGACTTGGAAGTGCGGGATTAAGCCGACTTTGGCAAACGCCTTCCCACTCAAGCGCTGCATGGCGAGCGAACAGACATGTATAGCACTCGTCGCAAACCGTTTCTGCATCGCGCTGGGATGCCGCTTATTCGGCATATCTTCGTGCACCCTCGTGCAAGTCAGCGGCGTGCAGCACGGCACACAGCGGTGCACAAGCGAGAGGGGGAGTTACACCTCAAAAGCATCCCGCTGACAATCATGATCGCAAAATATGCCTTCAAGAGCCTGTGGGCCCCGAGAGAGCACGCGGACATGGAACCACATGGACGCTTGAACGGCTTCGTCTTCAAAACTTCTGCAAGACTCGGTCATCAACGTCGGCCTTGCACAAGTCGGCTTCGCGAAATGCACGTTGTCGCACATTCGATTGTCCTGATACGGAATTCCACTGCATGTCATTATGTTGGTGTTGTCATATATTTCATGCTCACCCCTGGCCATGCACATTGGATGCGCTCAATCTTCGGCTCAAATTAACGCGGACCTCTCTCCACATAACCTCCCGCCACGGACTCAACAATTTCTCAAATGTGCGGAAGCCATTCGCAAACATCCCGAAGCTCAAACTGACATGTCGAGAAGTGAAGGTCCACCTGGACTTCCCCATACAACGTGCAGAAATATTGATCACCTGCGCAATTCCCCCCCCCGCTTACTGCCTTGTTGAATTTACACGTGAATTCTGTCCAGCTGCCTTCTTCCTTCGGTGCACCTCTGCATCATGGTGCAATTCGATGTGATGTAATGGGGTCTGTGGGCGGTTGATGGTGATGATGGTGATGGTCGCGACGACGACGACGAAGAAGACCACGAAGACCCCGACGGCGACAATATCGAGGATGACGACGATGACGAGGGGGGGGGGAGGAGGAGGATGAGGAGGACGAGGAGGAGGAGGAGGAGGAGGAGGAGGAGGAGGGCGGGGCGTCCAGGCGCAGGAGCAGCTCCAACCTCTCGTGCATGGACACCAAGTCCAGCTGGTCCCTGGCCTCCGGTCCTGCCGCGCCAGCTGCCGCGCCAGGGGGGGCGAGGCGGCAGGGGGCGAAGGGGGATGGAGAAGGCAAAAACGAATGCAATGGGGGAGGGGGAGGGAGAGCGGGGAACGAAGGCAAAGGGGGAATGGGGGTACAGAGGAGGAGTTTTGTTCTGGCAACTTCTATGCTCTCGTGGGCAGGGGTAGAAGAGAGGAGGAGGAGGAGGATGAGGGGGAACAGGAGGAGGAGGACGAGGACGAGGAGGAGGAGGAGGAGGAGGACGAGCGATAATGATGATGATGCTGCTGATGATGATGATGGTGATGATGCTGATGACGATGATGATGCTGATGATAATGATGCTTATGATAAGGATGACGATGCTGCTGCTGATGATGGTGGTGATGATGACTATGATGATGATGCTGATTGTGATGATGATGATGGTGTCGTGATGCTGATGATGGTGATGATGGTGATGCAGACGATGATGACAACGATGCTGAGGATACTGACGTGGCTAACGATGATGATGATGATGATGATGCGGATGATGATAATGGATGCTGATGATGATGATGATGATGGTGGTGCTGATGCTGATGCTGATGCTGATGCTGATGATCATGATGAGGAGTAAGGGGAGGAAGAGGGGGAGAAGGAGGGGGAGGAGTAGGGGGAGGAGGAGGAGAAGGCAAGCGTACCACGACGACGACGACGACGTCCCCTACCCGCGGAGCTCCTCGGCGACGGGCGCCGTGAGGTGCAGCTCGCGGACAGCGGCCGCTGCCGCATCGAAATTCACTTGCGGATGAAGGAGAGACGCAAGAGGGAGGTGCCGGAGAGAGTGATAAATATGACATGCAATGAACACTTCCTCGGGAACGGGAACGGTGCAGATCGGGATCCCCCATCTGGCCAACGGATCAGAGGACAACTGCCTATAACGCAGAACAGTTGAAATAGACCAGGCAAGGCGAGGGCAGCTGGCGTAGTGCACTTGACGATCGGGCTCCCCCTCACAACCAAAAATGCATCCCCTACGACCACCTTCATTCAGTATGCGATGAGAGGTGAGCCACGCTCCGCTCAAGGTTCTAATCCACGACCAGGCCCAGGAGGGCGGGACAGCTCTGAGAACACTCTGGATGCTGGGCCAGTCAATGGCCTGGATCACCGCGGCCTGCTCAGGCCACCACTTCAGGAGACGGGGCGCAAACAACTCTCCGAGGCCGTGCTGCGGCCAGCATTGGATACAGGCGAGCTTGGCAGCACGCTGCGGCTTCACATCATTTACAGAGCAGGCGGCGGCGGCAGCAACGTGCATCGGACCTCCGACTCCATGTTCAGCGTCATGCAGATACTCAACGAAGGCACGGCACTTCCAGTGCCGCGGGTACCTTTTTCCTGCAGGCAACACTGTCAGGCGGCACTCGTCCAATTCCTGAGACATGGGCGTGTCTGTCATGCGCGCCAGCCAACGATATAACCGATCATATTCAGGTAATGTCGACTTGGCCGTACGAGCGAGCGAAGCGATGCTGAGCACCTCCAGCGGGCATACTCTAGGCGCATTCCACTCGCGAAGATACGCCCAGTCCCGCGCACGGAAAGCACCAAGCGGAAGGCGGAACGCCTGAGCCCAGGCACCTTTCTCAGCGTCCTTCAGCTCAGTCGGCAACGGCAAAAACTGCATGACGTAACTGAGGACCGACACTGCGCGCGTCGTGCACAGCACGGCCGACGATGATGCAGGCGTATTACCAGCACCAATTGCCGCAGCACGATCACGGTACTTCTGACGGGGGAGAGTCCAGGAGTCAATCAGCTCGGCCGCGGGACCAATCCACATACCCAGGTAAAACAGTTCAGCTTCAATTCGGAACTCGGACCACTCGGGGATGAACATGTTCAGAAACTTTTGGACTTGGCCTTTGAGAGCAGGGGTAAACGGACCTGAGACAGGAGTCAAGACACACTTAGCTGGCTTGAGGCACAGGTGCGCGATCAGCTCAACGACTTTCATCACGCGTCTAAGCTGCAACAACAAACGGATGTCCGACAAGGCTCCACCCAGGTCGTCCGCGCATGCACGATTGATCCCCTTCCGCGGGATCTCGAAACTGCGGTTGAGGCCAATCAGCGCCGGCGTGAGGGCAATCGCGAACAGCGGGCCTGAAAGAGCACACCCTTGGATAATCCCAGAGCGAATCCAAAACGCATGAACCAGGACCCCCTGGACCGACATCACACCTTCGATGCTATCATACAGCGTCTCGACGAACATCAAAAACCCGATGGGACATCCCATCTTCCTCAAAACTAAGATCACGAACTCCTGAGACAGGCTCGGGGAAGCGTGGCCGTAGTCCAAGGCGTACAGCATTGGACAGCGGTCGTCAGCTTCAGGGCGGGCAGAGTGCACGCGAGCGAGGGCGTCCACCTCTAAGATGTTCTGGCAAAAGTTCCTGCCTTTCATGAACCCGCGCTGGTCCCGAGGAACGAAACGATTGAGCGGTTTTCGGATCGCCATGTTCATGGTCGCAGTAAGCAATTTGATGCTGGTATTTCGAAGCCCGAGAACACGAACCGACGAAGCTTCCCTGTCGCAGTCGCCCTCTCTCGTGTCAGTGCTGGACTCTCCTTTCGGCAAAAAGGCTTGCAAGGTGACGCTCTCAGCGACAGGGATGCTGTATCCAGACATCATCCACCAAAGCAGGTCATGCAGCAGTATCGGTCCACTCGGGTGGGCCAGCCAGGGCGCATAACATAATCTGTCAACACCTGGCGCTGAGTCGCTAGCAGAGCGTGCAACTCTCTTCAGCATCGCAAGAGACGGTGGCGGGCAGTCGGCAAAGTCCACGGGGCAAACGAAGCGGTCGCAGTATGTGTTGGCCGTCTTCGATGGCCACGCTTTCCTTGAAAAGATCGGCCCCCAATGCGCAGCGAGAGCAACGCTACGATCGAGATCCCCCATCACCCCCCCCCCCCCTTCGACGAGCACGGCACGAAGCGTGAGACGACGAGCGAACGGCGCCCAGATCCTCGCCCTCCTCTCAATAGCCTGTAGCTGTTGACGTTCTCTCTGACGAACTCCCTCCCCCTCAGCACGCTCGAGACGGGCGCGGGCAGCGAGACGGTCGAGGTCGGCAGCCTCCAGTTGCACTCTGTTAGTCCAGCTCTGGAAAGCAGCAGGGTGCATAAGTGAGACACGACCGCCCTCGATTCGGACAAAATCAGCTGCGGCGGCATGAGAGGCGAGAAGTCGATCAGCTGTGACCGCATCCTGTCTCCAGACTGCACGGGCCAGAGCACGCGCGAGTAGCAAAAGCGTGCGGGGGTCCGACGGCTTGCGAAACATCAATAAGTCCCTCGCCTCCCTTCCAGCTTCCTGCATCAGATATTCTCAGCAAGCGCCTCGGGGGACACATGGCCATCAAGTGGGCCTTCTCCGCGCCCAAAAACTTGGCAAGGCATTGCTTATACTCCAGGGAACTGCACACATGCTTGGGGATCGGGCGTTCACCAGGGTCCTAGGGTTTCCGTTGGCACGTAGATATCGTGAGAGCAGCATGATCACTAACTTTGGCACGACGGAGTTTTTCAGGAAGACCTTCCACCCGAGCAGTAGCATATACCTGAGCGAGCACCCAACCAGGCCACGAGCACCAGAATCGGTCAATCGCTGCAACAGCATCCGTCTGTTTGTCATAATGAGTCGCACTTGCCGACAATATCTCAACCAGCCCATCTAAAGCATCAGCCCACCGCGGAGCCTTGGCGTGGAGTGGGCGGGCAATCCTCTGAGCCTCCGAAGGCTGCGCGAACGAAAGTTTTTCCTCGGGCGCAAAGTTGAAATCACCATGCACTACTACTAAAACTGATTCAGGGGACGATTCGGCCAGGGTCCGATCCCTACTTATCTGATTGCACACGTTCCTTACTTGTTCTGAGGATAGATCATGATTATGCACGTTATAATGAATTAGTTTCGTGCCTTGATTTTCGAAGACAACACGGAGCACACGACCATCGATGAGAGAGAGCGGAGTGGCCGTGACGCCAGGGGGAAGAGAAGGGGAACGATGGCCTCTGGTCAAAATCCCTGGAACGACAGTGGCAACCCCACCATGGCTTCGTCCAGCGCGGTCCTCGCCGCAGAAACTCGAGTAAACTAGAGCACCAGGGAGGACACGTCTAAGGAAAGGAATAAGCTGTGCCTCACACTGGTGAATCTCCTGCAAAGCGGTGACTGTGGATCCCAGTCGGAGCTTCTGGAGATAAGACAATTTCGCACAAGCGTGGGCCCCCTCGTATTGCAGCAATGCACGTGTGCTCCAGGAAGTGAAACGCAAGCCGCCAGCTGTGGCAGCGTCACACAATAACGGCAGCTGCGAGCGTGCGAACAGCGCGGCAAATCGGCTAAAGGCACCGCTCAGGCTCCCGATCTGGCTGAAGAAGTTCACCCACTGCTTCCACCAGCTCGGCCTTGGATTTCCCGTACTTGGCGATGACGCCAGGGTTCCAGAACAGCTTCGTCTCCTCGCGGCCAGGGAAGACCTCGATCTTGCACAGCGCATCCCAGCCGAGCGAGAGCCAGCCGCGGTCCCTGTCAAATAATATCTTCTGCTCACGGCCGTAGATCTCATGCAGCTTTGTGCGGAGCTTACGCCCTGTGATCTCCGTCTTGATCTGCTTCGGGTTCTTGTCGCAAGAGATGTGACGGCGGGCGGTGCCACCTGCCTGCGTTGGAACTTCGAACTCACGCCATTGATTTGACGAGATGCGCAATCCGCTGAGAATCTTCTGCACACGCCTGGATGCCAGGCCAGTGGCTCCCGAGACTTGCAGCGCGAACATCTTGGCAATCGGGTCAGGCGACGAGAGTGACCACATGTCGGACGTGATCTGCATCTCCTCGAGCCACGGGGTGATGACGTTGCGCACCTCCTCGGACCGCGCGAGCCTGCCCGCGTTAATCTTGACCACCGTCGCGTCGATCTCCCTCTCGAAGGAGGCGCTG